GGCAACGGCGGGAGCGGGGCGGGTCCCGCGGCTGCGTCCGGGTGGAAAGCGGCGCCTCACAGAAAGGTTCCCCGCGCCGACAGTGACTCGAGCGGGACAGCGTGCCCGGTGCGGCACAGAACCCCGCGGCCCCAGGGGAACCCAGGAGGCCCCAGGCTGCCCCCAGAGCCGAGGAGGCCGCCCCGGTGGTGCCTTCAGCTGCTGCCTCTCCCCGGGCGCCTGGCAGGCCTCCTCCAGGCCACAGGCCACACACACCTTCGGCTGGATAGTGGTTGCCTAAAGCTCATGTGCCGCTTCTCTTTCCTAAATAAACGTTCCTAATTTATCTCTGCGAGAAAGGAAGTCGGAAATAAGTGTAAGGAAAGCCTGCGTGTGAGCCTGGAGCTTAGGTCACGCAGCCTGAGTCCAGCACCTGGCCCCGACGGTGTTGGTGACATCCAGATGTGCCCGGCCTGTTGGCTCTGCCCTTCACTTCTGTGGGCCTCACAGAGAAAAGTGTCCTCATGCCCACAGGCCGTGCATTCAGCCTTATGTGTGTGTCCCTGTGCTCACCTAGCAGAGGCAGGTTTAGGACAGCAACCCATTAAGGCATTTGTAGCTGCTGTCACTACTAGTTGCCACCTGGCAGGACCGTAACTGCCTATGAGAATTCCAAGTCTGTCTCACTAATGAGTTATGATAAGTAGTATCTTACATCATCATTACTTACCTGGTTGTCCTCGCCTTGGAAAGGACTAAACTTTCTCTTACAGCCAGCTATTGCACCTCAGCTGAGCCGCTGCAGTCAGTAGCTACAAGGCATCGTTTTCTTGAGTTGCTTCTCAGCTAGAGCTGACAGTGAAAGGGCTTCAAACCTTCAAACTTCAGAGCAGTCTGAAAGATTAGCTTAAAAACATCCTTAGCTGCAGTTTAAGTGACTTCACATTAGTATGAGGTAGTGGGATTCATATCATTAAAGCCTGAGAGACACATTTAAAAAGCTGCTTTTTAGGGCCTGACGTACCACATCCAGAAGGTGTTGAAACAAAGAAATTAACAGTCAGAATCCAATCTGTTAAGCAGGTATTCTTTTATTAGCAGCACTGGGGTCACCCCAGGGATTCCCCAAAGGGCTCCCAAGAATTAGCAAGGGACATCAGTTTACATACACACAAATTATACATGTTCATTAGATTTTCTAGAAAGAGGTGTCTTATGATAATGAATTCCTGGAATTCATTTACATAACCCAAGCATGCATACTGAAAATAGGGTGAGGGTCTTTGGTGGTCAAGGGAGGAAGTAAGTAGTCTTCTTCATGGTGTTTGCCTCTTTCCAGAGCGTGCACCATGAAGTAAAGCCCAGGTGTCTCCCTCCTAAATCAGCAAGATCATTTTTTCTATAATAGGGTCTCTGAATCTCTTTTTTAGAGCCCCCCTTATCTCATTCTAGGAGTTGCCCAAGTGTTCACTGAAGGCCTTGAGTCTGCTATCAGTGGGGAGCCTAACAAGCGTTTCAATCTTACCTAAATAGACAAAGAGACCTGAGGAAAGAGTTGAGAAGATAGGAGTCCTTAAGAAACAAATGAAGCAAAACACAAGCAAAGCTTTGAAACAAATGAAGCAAAGACAAGCAAAGCTTTCATATACCACATCACAGTTTAGTCTGAATAATTGTTAGAAATTAATTTGCTTGAGTCCTTTCATTCCCTTTCAGTGTGAAGAGCTAATTCATCCCCAAGGCCCCTTTCTGTGTGATTCTTGAGGAATACTAGTTGACCTGTACTGAGCTGAAGTTTTATTTGTGCTCTTGAATATTTTACCCCTGTCTGCGAAGCATGGTGAAGCGTTATTAATTCAGGCTCAGTACCAGGGGCTGACATAGCCCTCACTTAAGCAGCGCAGCTGCGTGGCACTATGTACATCTCATCGGGTGATGTAAATTCAAGTAACTTTCATCCACTTAGTCCTTCTCAGAAAACTTAATCCTGTGTCCATCAGTAACAGGACCATGTAATCAAACTCTCACTTAATAAGTGAATTTACTAAGCCAAAATATTAATTTTGAAAATCCCAGAATAATTAATAAATAAGCTAAGAGAGTTCAAGGAGGTAACATGGGAAAGCTGATCATTGACCTCCAAAGACAAACTTTAGTAAACACCCTTTTCAGCTCTGAGGATGGCCATACCCCTGTAAAACAAAGAATGTTTCAAGATTCTGAAATGTCAGGTTGTAAATTTTTCACTGCTGAGTGACCCACATGTGAGGAAATGAAGATAGATGTCATCAGTTACCTTGCTAGACAAAACAACTAGATATAATGGGTGTAAAAATGCACCTGGACTCATCTGTCTGCAACCTCTTTTGACTTATCTGTGAGCATTTCTGGGTAAAATAAATTTTAAAGAATAGTAATAGAAGATCAAGATAAAAATTCTTTAACCAACTGTAGAGAAACCTGAAAATGTTACATGCTAAATCAAAACACTGAGGAGAGCTCAGTTCTCAATTCATGAAGAGCATGGGGATATCAGATGGCCAGTTGTCTACAAATGCCTTGAATGTCTATTATTGATTTACATCAATTTTTCTGTCAGTTCTGCACTTACATGCATACGTTAAGGGGCAAGAGTGAGCACATTTTTTTTTCTCTGTGTATTGAGAGTTATTTAAATATTTTCCTACATTCCCAACTGAACAAGCATACAAAGTATAATAGCTTTTTGTGCCAATAAAATTCTGCAAAGAGTTCATATGAAGGCAGTAGCTTTCCTTTTTTTTTTTTTTTTTTTTTTTTTTTTTTTTTTTTTAAATTGAGGAGAATTATTTGTTTGTGTAGGAACTTTACAAGCACATGCAGAAAACCAGGGCATGCCACTAAACTCCACAGCTCAATGCCTGTAAATCCAGGGTTTTACATTGCATCTGCAGTGTGAGAGGAAGCCCTCCCGCCTTGCCTGGCACTATCCTCAGCAGCATTTTCTTTTTCCAGTTTTTGAGAGAACCTGTGGACTTCCACAGAGATGGCAATCTTACATTGCATTTGGTAAGTGTGTTATTTATCAAGACTGCTTGATACGTGGGGTCCCAGGGGTTGAGTACATTCCTACTGGTAGCACAGCATGGTGTCTGGCTGTTACCCATGCTGTGATCTGCAGGCACCACGTTCAGCGAGATGGCTGGTGGTGGAGGGGCACAGAAGCTACCACACCTTGCTGGTTAAAAGTGTGAGTTCCCCAGCTTCTGGGGAGTATGGGGAAATGTATGTCAAGTGAATTTTATGTGCAATTCATAAGACTTTGCAGGTCTGAAAAAGACATCCTTACATCTATAGGTCAACAAAACAGGAGAAAAAGCTACTGTCATCTGTGGATGAGGAATTTCCTTCAGTTGACTACCTCTGCTCCAAATCTGCCTTTGTTTGTTATCCTCTGTATGTGCACATCTGTCATTCTTCTAGGCTGTTTTTCTAGGCTATTTCCAGTCTGGTTTTCTTCCTCCTATGCACTGGTTTTCTCATTGGTCAGTTACATCTCCAATATGGTAGGAAAACTTCTTATAAATGCCAGTCAACGCTAAAAAGTGAAGCAATATAAAGAGATAATCTTTACAGAATCTCACTGAGGGCTATTAACAGCTTCTTGTGTATCCTTACCATATCCAGTTAAGAAATCTCATGCTCAAGTGTGTGCGTCTTTTGTTTCCTTACAAGGAGCTTACTGCATAGCAACTTGAGAAATACAGGATCATTGTTAAAAAATATCACTTAAATAATAAGCATTGGCAGAAATCCCAACCAACTCTTTAGCCTGTCCCCCTGGTATCACATGACTGGTTTAATTTTGTTCATGTGATAAGTGTTTGACAATTACTGCTTTTTCATCATGATTTACTTTTAAATTGCAAGTAAGCAACTGCAGTACAGTCAGTGTAGAGTGGTGTTACGATGTCTAGTACCACATACCACAGGTAGCTTGCTGGTTTTATCAGAAGGACTGGTGTAGGCATCACTGTTTTTCTATTTTGTCTTTTTTTTGGGGTGGTCTTTCCCTCTCTTTGTCTCAGTTCTACACCTTTGAACACTTCTCTCTTCCCTATTGATTCCACCTCCATTTACAGCTGCAGTGCTCTACAGTGTTATACCTGTCCTTACAGTCTTTTGTGTCAAGTTACTGCAGTTAGCTGTACCTGATACTGGCCCCCCAAATGTCTTTTGTTTATCTGCCACTGCAGGTCTGGAAAGCATCAAGAATTGGTCAAGGGAAAGTAAAACTTACGTAGTCAGTATCTGAAGTGTTTCACCCATATTCTCTCCATCTTTCCCCTGGTTGGTTTTTGATTAAGGAGAGGATATGAAGCAACAGATAAATCATACTGTTTTATTTAAGGCCACATGACACAAAATACACTTTAATTCTTCCAAACGATTCTGAAGACCAGTTTATTTCCTGGAGTGTAAATGCAGTCAGTAAAAAGGAAAAAACATCCAAAGGATACACTGAATGCCTGGAAGCTTGTCTTTTTCTATACAATGTTAGCTGACCTAATAAAAACCAGGGCTGTCTGCAGGTTATCTTCAAACGAGGCAGCTGTCTTACATGACAGAGTAATGGCTGAGAGAAGTCAAAAAAATCCCAGCAGTATCAATAAAGTGCCAGCAGTCCCAATCCCAAAATCCCAGCCCCAGAATTTTCAGTCAACTGCTCCCAAGACCCTCTTCCCCTAAGCAATTCACAACACTCACGATGCCCTGATCTCACCTTCATCTTTCATTCTTCTGCTGCTAGGAATGCCAAGTCAAGAAGTCTCCTGTTAGGGTTGCTTTCTCTGCTGGGGAATAGGAGTGCAGAGGGATGGGAGGGGGGACACTGCCCCTTTATCTGTGCTGAGGGTGGGTGCATTCATGCAGTCAGTGCTGGCAGGGTAAGGAAACGAGGTATGGTGCAGAATAGGACTAAGCATACAATCA